GAAAAACACTCTCACAACACTCATACAAAACAATGTACACATAGACAAACACGAAACAAAGACATTTACGAAAAGTATTAATTAATAGATATTTAACCGACTGCCAGTAAATCGTTACATAAATTAAACAAGTAAATGAATATCTTACCAGGCATCCAGTATCAAATCAGAAAAATATAATTATATGCTGTACATCGATTGAATCGATCTGTGATAGAATCTATATGATCTGCTGCCGTAAAGGCTGTAGAGCTTGGGGTGGGGATTTCGGCGGGTTTCTTACTTTATATAGTGCACGGTTTAGTAAAACATGCATATTAATTAGTATAACGAAATCCATTGGTCCATGGTAGGTCACTGGTCAGTCATACGTAAAGGGAATGCTAAAAATAGAAATTCACCTGTACAAAACTAAACACTCGCACATGACTCTCACATACCTGCAAAACCGGTTGTATTCGATTGGCTATGCGCGCCAATCAGAATACGTACTTATATTGCGCAAAGCATTAAAGTAAATATTCAATAATAATTATAATTTAATTACAACTGTGACATTCTCCCCTGCTAGGGAAAATGGCTCCTGACATTTTAAATAACTGAAGCAAATAACAATGTCCATGTAGCATTGTACAGACAAAGTATTATAACCCAAACATATTTACAACCAAAATGAACATCAACTATGTGACATTCTCCCCTGTATATACTATACGTAATAAACTGGAGTAACCTGGTGCACCCACTCTCCGTACCTTTCCGGTTTTCTCACCTGTCTAGTAGAACGTCTAGGGAGGGGTGTTGGTGTACTCTGTACAGTAGATAAATTGCGATTCAAAGTAGAATCAGTAGTATTATAATATGTACTGGTAGTAGAATCATAAGTACTTGGACTATGATGAGAAATAGTACTTGGAAGTCTACTTACTGTAGTAGAATCCTGACAAGTACTTGGACTATGATGAGAAATAGAACTTGGAAGTCTATGTACTCTACTTACTCTACGTTGAGGAATGATATAAACTTGTCTATCATCAGAATCTGAGTCCGAGTCTGAAGATTCTGAGCCTGAAATAGCAGCGTCACTTACCTTACACTCACTCTCAAGTGAAGGAGTAGGAATACTTATGACTGGGGTGGGTGTCTTATCAGTAGTTTTTAAAGGGAGTGTCTTAGAACCTGGGCTGATCTGCTCTGTTTCTGATAACCTGGGTATATAAGAGATTGGCAACAACATGTTTCTATGCAAGTTCTTAGATTTATCTTTACCATTCTCTTTTTTCACAATAAACACAGGAATATCAGGGCTGGGCTGTTCAGTAACAATGTAGGGGTCTCTGGCCCATTTATCAGCCAGCTTATTCTTTCCCTTCAAACCCACATTTCTAATTAATACACGATCACCGACCTGTATTTTAGATTCTCGTACTTTTGCATCATAGATGCTCTTATGACGAGTCGCGTTCTTTTCTGCTTCTCGTGAAGCAACTTTATACGAAAATTCGAGTCTCTTCTGTAGTTTCTTCGCATAATTATCGCGACTACGTATTTTCTCTGACGTATCGGAATTTAAATTGAGAAACGCATCAATTGCTAAACGTGGATGTCTCCCAAACATGAGAAAGAAAGGGGAATAACCAGTACTCTCATGTCTTGTTGCATTATATGCATGGACAAGTGTACTTACAAAGGATTTCCAATCATCCTTCTGTTTGTTGTCTAGGGTACCAAGCATCTTGATTAGAGTCTGGTTAAACCTCTCGACCATACCGTTCCCCATGGGGTGATAGGGAGTAGTTCTAGATTGTTTAACACCAGCTATCTTGCAAAGCTCCCTAATGACATGACCTGTGAAATTTCTACCTTGGTCACTGTGTAACCTGTTAGGGAAGCCATAGTGTAATATGAAATTGTCAAACAAAATCCTAGCAGTTGTCTTTGCCGTCTGGTTAAGTGTAGGAAAAGCTTGTGCATAACGGGTGAAATGATCTGTTACCACTAAGACGTTTTCAAACCCACCTTTACTCTTTTCAAGGGATAAATAGTCTATACAAACCAAATCGAGAGGATGGTAACTCTCAATATTTACAAGTTCAGCTGAAATTTTCTCTGGTGTTTTGAACTTGACACAGCGATCACAGGTCTTGATTCTGTTGGTGATGTCCTGAATCATACCTGGCCAATAGAATCTCTCTTTCATAAGCTGGGTTGTTCTTTCTCTGCCATGGTGTCCTAAATCTGTATGTAAGTATTCAAATGCTGCATCCCTGAAATGAGCTGGTAGAACCAATTGTTTGACATGATCATGGTTTAAAACAGATGTTCTGTACAAAATACCGTTTTCTATCAACAATTTGTCTTTTTCTCTGAAATATTTGCAAACTTCTAGAGTCTCTGATTTTAAATCTGACTTAGATAGTAAACATCCCTGATTCAATAAATGTACAACTCTACTAATACCCTTATCAGCTGATTGTTCTTTTTGCCAATCAATGTCAGAAAAAACACATGAATCAAGACATGAAGTTTCAGGTAAAGAAGAAAAGTTTGACTCACTTTGTGCCTCACTTTGTACAATACCAGTACTTACAGTCATACATGAAGCAGATGTGACGTTATAAGGTAGGTATATATTCTCAAAGTAGGGACAGTGTTCTCTGTTTGTAGTTTGTGCATTACAGATGGACTGGACTACATCAGGAATGACATCTGTTTCCAAGGGTCTTCTAGATAAGCCATCTGCATCTGCATTGTTGATACCCTTCCGGTAACGGATGGAAAAATGAAAGTTGCTCAGAGCAGCTAGCCATCGATGACCTGTGGCATCAAGTTTAGCAGTGGTCAAAATGTAGGTGAGCGGGTTGTTATCAGTGATGACCTCAAAGTTGTTTCCAAACAGATAGTCATAGAACTTTTCTGTCACCGCCCATTTCAATGAAAGGAATTCCAACTTATGCGCAGGATAGTTTCTTTCGCTGTTCTTCAAACCTCTACTAGCATAAGCTATCACTCGCTTCTCACCATTCTGCTGCTGATAAAGTATGGCTCCCAAACCATTTCTTGAAGCATCTGTATGGAGGATAAAAGGCTTGTCGAAGTCAGCATAGGCGAGGATTGGTGGTGATGTTAGTTTCCTCTTGATTTCTTCAAACGCTTGGGACTCCTCATCTCCCCATCTCCATGGTGGTGGTTTGACTTTGGACTTACCTTTTTCCTTCGAGTTTGTGGAATGGCCCTTCAGGAGATCGTTGAGAGGCTTAATGATCTTAGAGTAATCTTTTACATACCTCCTATAATATCCTGCAAATCCTAGGAATGTTCGAAGTGTCTTGATATTGTGAGGGGCTGGCCATGTAGAAATAGACTTGGTCTTCTCTGGGTCTGTAGCTACACCTGCTTTACTTACTACATGTCCTAAGTAGGTAACACTCTCTTTGAAAAACTCACACTTCTTGGCCTTAAGCTTAAGATTATGTCTCTCAAGTCTCTGAAATACAGCTGTCAGTCGGTCCAAGTGTTCGTCAAATGTTTGCGAAAATATGAGTATGTCATCGAGAAAAACAAGACAGTCTCTCAGGTTCAACTCACCCATACATCTTTCCATTATCCTCTGAAAAGTCGCAGGTGCGTTCGTCAATCCGAACCCCATTCTGTTACACTCATAGTGACCAACACCGCTGACTGAAAAGGCTGTCTTCTCTTTGTCCATCTCTTCTATCTCAACCTGCCAGTAGGAACTGGTTAAATCTAGTTTGGTGAAGAAGTTAGACCCAACCAATCTGTCGATAGTGTCGTCAATGCGTGGAAGGTTGTATGCATCCTTGATGGTTCTGGAGTTGAGTTTCCTGTAGTCTATGCAGAAACGTAAACTACCATCTTTCTTTCTGACCAATACTATGTTTGAGGAATATGGGCTCTGTGACGGTCTAATAGCTCCAACATCCAGCATCTCCTTAATGTGTTCTCGTACTTCTGCATACATTCCAGGTGGAATCCGTCTGTATGGTTCTTTGAATGGTGTGTTGTCGGTAAGCTTAATTTCATGTTTTAAAATATCAGTCTTACCTATATCAGTTGGTCCATCTGAAAATAAATGAGTCCAACCAGAGAGAAACTTCTTAGCCTCACTTACTTGTTTAGAAGTTAAGTTCTCCTCTGATATCTTGATGTCCAATTCCTGCAAAGACTTTCTGGGTTTCTTAATACCTTGATCCTGTGTTTCAGGATTCCAAGAGTCCACTAACTTGACACCACTTACTGAACATAAAAGTGATTTCGGTGGTATATGTACAATAGAGGCTGAAATATTGCAAACCCTAACAGGAATAGTAGTAGTATGCTTACCCTGGGTAAGGGAAATAACTCTAGGACAAACAATGAGACCTCCTGATAATGAAGTATTTGTTTGCTCAGTTAAAGCTGATACAATACCATGGTTATTTCTTACCAGACCTCTGATTACTTTTGTCTCATTTGGTAACACTTGAATGGTATACTTGTTAGTCGTCTTCACTGGTGTTTCATCATTCATACTGTCAAATACTATCTTCCATTGTTCTGGAACATCATCTGAATCAGTGGAATTCTGGTTACAAGCATTCCTGTAAAAACGAATGAAATTAGTTCCAAGAATCATAGGTACTTGCCTTGAATAATTTGTCTGGGGAACTACTAGAACAGGAATAGTATATGTAAATTCACCAAAGCAAGGTACACATATGTCAATTTCAGCATAGCCACTATATGGCAAAGCACTGCCATTAGCGCTCTGAACATTGAGTTCAAATTCTGAAAGGTCATGTAACTCAGGCTTAGGGTTTAAATGTTTGAAAAATTCTTCAGAAATACAGGTTATCATAGATCCTGAGTCTACGAGAGCTTTTGTTCTTAAGCCATTGACAATAATATCAGATTCATTGGATTCTCCAACTAACCTGTACAAAAGACTGGATTGATTTTTGGTGTAATTAGGGCTATTTTGAAATGCATCTTCAGTTTGCCCCGCAACAGGAGATGAAACTAGTTTAAAGTACTACCTGCACCAAACCCATTCATGTTACCAGACTGTTGAGTAAACTGCCTCTGTTGCCATGGTTGCTGAGTCTGTTGCTGAATCTGGTGCTGCTGGTTTGGCGGTTGCTGAGATTGGAAATACATTCCTCTGCCCCTGTTGGCGAATTTCTTCCTGCCCTGGAAATTTCCTCTGTGGTAAGTATTGTTGGAGGTATTTGTCTGAAAAGAACCTGTATTATTAAAACCAGTTGTTTGTGTTTGATTATTTGCATTTGAACTTTGCTCAATTTTACCCATTCTGCTATCAAGTTTCTTCATCTGAGAAAGTAATTCTGTAAGTTGTTTTTGCATATTTTGCAGTTCAGAATTTTGAATTGTCAATGAATCTACATTACTTGACATAGCAACACTTGATTTTGGAACTGAATTTACAGATTTCAAACTAGTTTCCTCTTGTTCAATCTGTCTTATTTCTCTAAGAAGGGAGTGAAACTCTTTTACAGTCTCATACTTGTGCCTTGTTGCATTTCTTAACTGTGTGCTCCTTAAACCTGACCAAAACTTTGATCTAAGCATTGGGTCCTTGGCATTTACATCAATGTGACCTACTTTTACAGCTTTTGATAAACACTGTTCTAACCTAGATCCATAGGAAACAATTGACTCACCTTCTTGTTGATGATCTGAATAAAATTTCTGCATGATGTTTTCGGGTGTGCAGACATTCCCATAAAAATCATCTAACTTTGCGAGGATGTTCTCAACTGTTGCATATTCTCCAAGTGGAATCAGAATTTCCCTCGCCGTCCCCTTCAGAGAACTTCTCACTGGCTGCAAAAGAACATGGTCAGGCCACTGGCCCTTTAAGCACCTAACCTCATACGACCAAACGTCATAGCTCACTTCACCTTTCTGAGCTTGCTCACTACCGCTAAAAGTTGGAAGCTTTATAGGGGTAGGGTTGTTATTTTGATGAAACAGAGCAGAGCTATTAAACAATTGAGGTGATGACATAAGACCTGGCGGGTGTAAATAACCTGGTGAGGGTATGTGACTAGGGATCGGTACTTCACCTAAGGATGGTAGTTTAGGAATGGTACCCTTATTCAAACCATGTTCAACTTTAGGGGTAGTTGGAATTTTCTGCGCTTTCAACAGGTCATACTCCTCTTTTGTTATAACCCTGTAATGCTCTTCTGCATTGATTTGCTCTATAATTTCTTGCAAGTCCTTCTTACCCTTGGTTTCATCAATATCTTGTTGTAAGTCCTTCTTACCCTTGTTTTCATCAACACCAGTTGCCATATTGATTTGAAAATGATTAACTGATACCAAATCGCAAGCAAAGATTAACTTATCGCAATGCGCAAATGTCAACACACAAGCAATCACTCACTCAAATTCTGTATAAATACAACTGCATACACAATAAACTGGAAAAAAACAATATACCCAAATTTACCTCTGCTTTGTCTAATAGTCCTGTTGTTCTCAGTCCTGTGCTCCAATTAGTGATGCTGCAATATTAAGAAAGTGATCGCGCGCAGGGAAATTTTCAGCTACTATAAACTACTGTACATGATCAACTCGCATCAACAAAATGTTCAACAGACAATGACATTGACGGACAAAAATAAACATTGACAGTCAACAAAACAAACACGACTGTAGACAACACAGTACATATAATAACATCAAGCACAGTACACATACATTTGGCAGTCTAAATTCCGATAGGTGCCTGTTCAAGCACAGATAAACAAAACATTTACCAACTCAAAACACGTTTTCTGTACTTCCGGAAGTTTACCACCAAAACAAGGAAAAAATATATCGAGCTCGATCCCGATCAAAATTCACACACGCACTTCTTACACACAGCCGGCATTTCTCATACAAATCAATACGAAGAACATAAATCACAATAATACACAAAAGTTACAAATGACACATAGAAAATATAAATACAAGTGCGCACAAATATTTTTCTTTAGATTTAATTCAAAGAAATCAATAAACTGTTGAGTTGTAGCTTCAGGTTCCGGAACACTTCACACGGAATAGAAGAATCTACCTGAACACGATTCACTGGTCACGGTACACGGATCACTGAGCATCCGAGAGACACAGTTCTCGATTCCATAGGATGGTTGGAATGTTAAACATAAGTTAGCTAGCTAGAATGATATTTAAACACGTGTATTCAAAATGCGCAAACTTACAGCCTAGGCGGATCCATGGGGAAGTAATAGGCACTGGACACGTACACACGGGCGTTGTGGACAATCCTCTCGTCCCTCAGTGGATTACTGGACCCTGGTCATCATCCATTGGAAAACTTGAAGTTGACGATAATTCGTCGTGGAAATCAACATACACATCACTGTAGTATTCACTTCAAGTTGAAAATTCACGTGGGCGCCATATGTCACAGGGTCACAGTCTTGTTAGAGGAATTCAAAACAAAACTGGTTCGGTCGTTTTACAATTTATTACTGGATATAAAGAAAACCTAGAAAATAGAAAAACACTCTCACAACACTCATACAAAACAATGTACACATAGACAAACACGAAACAAAGACATTTACGAAAAGTATTAATTAATAGATATTTAACCGACTGCCAGTAAATCGTTACATAAATTAAACAAGTAAATGAATATCTTACCAGGCATCCAGTATCAAATCAGAAAAATATAATTATATGCTGTACATCGATTGAATCGATCTGTGATAGAATCTATATGATCTGCTGCCGTAAAGGCTGTAGAGCTTGGGGTGGGCATTTCGGCGGGTTTCTTACTTTATATAGTGCACGGTTTAGTAAAACATGCATATTAATTAGTATAACGAAATCCATTGGTCCATGGTAGGTCACTGGTCAGTCATACGTAAAGAAATGCTAAAAATAGAAATTCACCTGTACAAATCAAAACACTCGGACATGGCTCTCACGTCCTGCAAACCCGGTTGTATTCGATTGGCTATGCGCGCCAATCAGAATACGTACGTAATATTGCGCAAAGCATCAAAGCAAATATTCGATAATAATCATAGTTTAATGACAACTATGACAATTGGAACGACAAAATCTGCATTTGAGACTGATCTAGTATGATAGCTACTAAAATTTGACCGAAGTATAAAATGTTCATTGAGATAAGAAGGGGTTTTTCCTTGAAAAAATATTAAAAACATGGTTCAGTCTAAGCTGAGAAACTCTATCTTGAAAATTTAATAAATTTAATTGACTAAGTATTTCGTAATTAACAGATGCCTGTGGACCTAAATTCAAAATAAAACGAACCATCTTGTTTTGACAAATTTTTAACCTTTTCTTTAAAGTTTTTGATAGCCCTGCATACCAAGCACTACAGGCTTAATCAATATGGCATTGTGTTAATGCTGAGCACAGAGTCATTTTACAAAAAGTATCTAAAACCGGGCTTGTCGGTGCAGAAATCGAAATCTATTATTTACTTTCTGGACAATCGATTCAACAATGTATTCACCACTTAAACATTTGTCGATCAAAACTCCAAGATATTTAACTTTTTCTTTACAACCAATGTTATGGTCATTACATACAACCTGGAAATTTTCAACATTTTGAAGCTTTCTTTTGGAACCAAATAAAATGCATTTAGTTTTACCTAAATGTAACGATAATTTATTATCAACAAGCCAGTGCGAAGTCTGATCTAAAACTTTACCAAGCTTTTCTGATATAAAATCAGGATAGTTATGTGCAAATAAAATGGCACTGTCATCAGTGTATAAAATAAGTTTACAATCTGCGTCAACACTAGTAACCATGTCATTAACGTAAATTAAAAATAATAAAGGGCCTAGAATACTGCCCTGTGGTACACCACAAGTGATAATACCAGCATCTGATGAAATTCCATTGCTGTGAACAAACTGTTTTCTTTCAGACAAATAAGATAAAAATCAATCAACAGATTGAACACCAATTGCTTTTAGTTTTTTACAAAGTATGTCATGGTCAACAGTATCAAATGCTTTTTGCAGATCAAGCATAACCATTCCAGTATATAATCCCTTTGCAGTATTATCTCTAATAAAATCAAATAGATGTATCAAACAAGATTCAGTGGAGTACTTACTTCTAAAACCAGATTGAAACTCATATAAGATGTTATTACAATCTAAGAATTTTGAAAGTTGCATATGAAACAGATCTCTCTAAAATTTTTGAAACAACACTAAGAATACTAACCGGTCTATAATTACCTACTTCTAGTGAAATGTTCTTTTTGTGAATAGGTTTCATCCTAGCTGTTTTCATATCTTCAGGAACAATGGAAGAAGAGATGGATAAATTTACAATATATGTTATAGGAATCTTTAGAAAATCAGCTCCATCACGAATGAACCTAGATGGAATATCATCAAGCCCCGTACTTTTAGAAGGGTTCAATTTTAAAAGCTCTTTGTGTACAAAACTTTCACTGACTGTTTTCAGAATAAAAAGATTATCATTTTTGGAATAAAAAGATTTAAAACGTTCACTATCCACACTAAAAATATTTAAAGGTGTGGGGAGTTTGCTTACCAGTGAAGCTGCAATATTAACAAAAAAGTTATTAAAATGATTTGCAACAGATTTTGGTTCGTGACATATTTCATCATCAATTTTTAAGCAGACGTTCCTTCTGTCCTGAACTTTATTATTAAGCCCAAGGTCTCTTAGGCTCTGCCATAGATTTTTCGGGTTATTTTTGTTTTCTTCGATTTTACTAGATATGTATTCTGTCCTTGCAACTTTAACGTCTCTTTGTATTTCATTTCTAATTCTGAAGTAGCTTTTGTAATGTTCTTCCTGTTTTGTTTTCCTGTATGAATAATGTAAAGAATCTCTTTCTCTGATCTTTTCGAGGATGGACGATGTTATCAATGGTTCAGTTCGTTGTTTTAATCTAATTTCTTTAACTGGGGCTACTTCATACAAGACCATTTTGAAAGTATGTTGAAAAACCCTCCATGCTTGATTGACACATGTAGAGAAACTTTGAGTCCAATCTGCTTCAAGTAATTTCGTCATAAAAATTTCAGGGTTATAATTTTTTTAAAGTGCGTATAGTGATAGATTGATGTGATTTGAAATGACCTTTCGAGATCCTCCTTGAACAAAATATAGCACAATGATCACTAAGACCAATGGGTATGGTTCCAAACTGAGAAATATTTTCTTTTCTGTTGGTGATAATATGGTCAATAATAGTTGATGATTCTGTTGTTCTAGTGGGTTCGTTGATAATCTGGTTTAGGTCAAAAAGATTCAAGACATCTTTATATGCTTTAAGAATGCTATTCTTATTGGAAATTTTAAAATCTATGTTAAAATCTCCTAAAATGTAGGTTTCACAGTCACTTCGTAGCATTTGAAGACTCTGTTCAAAATACTCTAGAAAGTTGGACTGGCAAGGTGGTCTATAGCACACTCCAATCTGAATTGGTTTGGTCTTTGGTAAAAATAGATTGACCCAGATTGACTCTTGATCCTTACTGTTGTTTATACCTTCCAGCTGAGTGAAGGCATATTTGTTGTGTATATATAAACAAACACCTCCCCCTGCTCTATTCCTATCACGTCGTAATATATGATAACCTTCAATGTTAATTTCCCCATCAAAAACTGAATGATCTAACCACGCAGCACTGTTAAGGCTAACTTTGAGAAATCAACGGAAAATAAAAGTGTCAAAAACGGGAAATTTTTAAAATTGAATTTATTTTTATTCAGCAATTCTATTATCACGGAACTTAAATACTTATGGAAATACGAGGGTTGATCCAAAAGTTCGTGGAATTTCTTCATATTTCATTTATTTTTCAGTGAAATCGGTTGAAAATTACAAATGAAAATATAGACACTTGATGAATATTTTAAATTAAAAAAATTTTTAAAAATCTTTGATAGTAACTTTATGGCAGTTGCCATAGAAACGGTAGAAATGCGGGGGAGACATTAACGCGTTTATTATCATTTAAATTCTTAATTCGTGAAATAAGAATTAAACCGCCCTATGTGGTATATAAAAGGAAAATTGTCATTATTACGATTGCTTGATATTTTTTAAACCTTTGTGTGAGAGTTTTACTGATTTTACTGGATATTTAGTTTATAAGTTGATGATTTATTGCTCATCTTTAAGTTGTTAGTTAACGTCAAAATTTGGTCAAGTGACACGTTTTTTTGAAAATCCCGGGATCACTCGATCTTAAACGCGTATATTATAGACATAGACTTGGGAAAAATGCATCTAGTTACTGGTTTTCCAGTGGCATAAGAAATTTAAGAAAAATAGAAGTTACATGGACATTGATAAAAAGTGTGGTCGCTTTTTAGAGGCTCTGTTTAATTACGTATACCCCAAGACAAAATTAAAGCGTTAATGGACGTTTTCGGCTGCCGTTCTGATCTTGACATTG